CCTGATGATGAGTGATGTTGAATATCTTTTCATGTGCCTGTTGGACATCTGTGTTTCTTTTTTGGAAAAATGTTTATTCAGGTATTCTGCCCATTTTTAAAGTTGGGTTGTTTGTTTTTTTGATATTGAGTTGTATGAACTGTTTATATATTTTGGATATTAACCCCTTGTTGGTCATCTGATTTGTAAATATTTTCTCCCATTCAGTAGGTAGTCATTTTTTGTTGTTGTAGATGTTTTCTCTTGCTGTGCAAAAGCTTTTAAGTTTAATTTGGTCCCAATACAGTTAGAATAATCCTCCCACTCATTAGCTCATGAAATTGCCTAGCCCATAAAAGCTAACCACACCACATTTTGAGGTTACTCTTGCCCTCTGTGACAGCCCACACTCTTCTCTGCGGAGTGTGTTTCTAAATAAACCCACTTCTTACCTATTATTTTGTCTCTCACTGAATTCTTTCTGTGATAAGACATTAAGAACCTGAGCTTCATTAGGTCCTGAAACCAAGTGTGTGATCTCAGTTGGAAAGACCATGAGTTTTGGCCAGGTTTGAGTCCTGGGCACGTGGGTTAGAGTCCCAAACTGGGTTTTGACCAGGTTTGAGTCCCAGACATGTGGGTTCAAGTCCCAGTCTGAGGTGAACGATTTCAGTGCTACTGTTTCCAGTGGTCATGTATGGATGTGAGAGTTGGACTGTGAAGAAAGCTGAGCGCTGAAAAATTGATGCTTTTGAATTGCGGTGTTGGAGAAGACTCTTGAGAGTCCCTTGGACTGCAAGGAGATCCAACCAGTCCATCCTAGAGGAGATCAGTCCTGGGTGTTCATTGGAAGGACCGATGCTGAAGCTGAAACTCCAGTACTTTGGCCACCTCATGTGAAGAGTTGACTCATTGGAAAAGACCCTGATACTGGGACGGATTGGTGGCAGGAGGAGAAGGGGATGACAGAAGATGAGATGGCTGGATAGCATCACTGACTCCATGGACATGAGTTTGAGTAAACTCCGGGAGTTTGTGATGGACAGGGAGGCCTTGTGTGCTGCGATTCATGGGGTCGCACAGAGTCGGACACGACTGAGCGACTGAACTGAACTGAACTGAACAGTGATTTTGTCTGTGGCTAATTATCTATACAGTTAAATTTTTCAACAATGAGGAAGTATTGATTCTTAGTAAGAAATACATATAAATTATTATTAATTTTAAAAAGAACTCTCTCTTTCTAAAAGAAAGAATTTCAAAGAGAAAGAATTCTTATTCTGAGGATGTTAATCCTCTGTGCAAGTGAGCATCAAGGTCTAGAAGGCTAGTCCATTCAGCTGCAGGTCATTGTTTTGTTTTTTTTTGCAGGAAAACTGATTTTTGTGTGTGTGATAGCATATGAATTTCTGTTATTTTATGTGAATCATCATTGTTGATATGATTCATATAGGAATTAACAAAATAATTAAGTGCTTTATTTTTCTTATTATCTCAATCCTTTCTTTTTTCAGCTACCTCATGTGGTTAATTCAGCTTGCCCAGTTTAGATTTTTCTTTTGTTGATAGGCGAAGCCACCAAACAGTTCTCCATTCTCAAATCCCTGTGGGGGGAAAAAAAGTCAAAATAGAATGTGCTTTCCTTTAGATTATCCTCTCATTTTGATACAGACCTCAAAAGATCAGAAAAAAAGCATTTTTCCAAAACATTTTACTTAGATCTAATTTAGGGATATAAAGTATAAAAATACAGTAAATCCCCTACCTATGTATGAATTCTAAGAACGTGTTTGGAAGTCTAATTTGTTCATAAGTCCAACAAAGTTAGCCTAGATACGCAACTAACACAATTGGCTATACAGTACTGTACTGCAATTTGTTTATAATAGTTTTCATACAAATAATACATAAAAAACACATACAAAATAAAGAAAACATTTTCATCTTACAATGCAATACCTTGAAAAGTATGTTAGCACCAGCTACATCACTGCTGCTTTTACACTTGCTTCTGGACATCCTGGGTTCAGAATAAAGATACTATACTACTGTACTCTATACAGTAGTGTACAGTAAAGTACACAAAAGCACAACCACCTGTAGACAAGCATGCACATGACCATGTATGCCAGACATGTGAACTAACTTATGTTATTGGATGTACGAACACACATTCGCATTTTTAAAGTTCGCAACTTCAAGGTTCATATGTAGGGGACTTACTGTAATTTTACTTGACTTTTCATAATAAAAATATATATTCATTTTGCAAATTGCAAGAGATGAATTTCTCTGGTAATCCTATATAATCTTATTTCAGAAAACTAGCACTCATGTCAACATTTTTGCCCGTCAAAATAAATGTTTGAGGGCCTTGCTTTGTGTGTGGAGGTAGAGGGGGCAGCAGGGAGTAGTGGCTACTTCATGTAGTTCTGTAGAGCATGAAGCATGAGAAAAGAGTAGTGGAGAACCAGGCAGAAAGCCTTATCTATTAGCTTTCTCTCTTTTTCTTCATAGGTGCTAATATACCACCTGCCCAGTACTCTTATTGCTGTGGTCAGGGATATGTAAGCAATGTGGTTTGGGGAGAAAGTTGAAGGTCTGAGCAGGGCTGTCTCTGAAATATCAGCTTGTAGCCTAAGATTCATTGAAACTACTAAATATGTCTGTTAGGATTACTAAGATCATTGATCAGAGACAAACTTAAAGATTAATATGAACTCATTTGTACCTCAGTGTCCTTATTTGTAAAATGAGAATAATTTAATCATTTTGGGAATAAAATGGGATAATGCAAGTAAAATACTTATAAAAGTATATATCATATAGTGCTTACCTAATAGTAATAACTATTATTATTATTACTATGTGGTTCTTGGGCATTATGTAGAACCATGGAAAAGGAAGCAAATTAGGTAATACTTGGAAATGAGACAACCAAAATGAGAAGAATACAGTTTCGTTTGCTATCTGAGAAACTTAACGTAAAGAAAAGAAGACATTTATACCTTTGTATATTCCTGCAATCAGAGTTCACATATTCATGCACCATCTTCTCAAATGACATTTCTTCTTAGTCCCAGGAAAGACCACTGTAGTCCAAGCCTCAGAGAATTACTTAGGGATCAATACTGGGTTCCTCTGGTGGCTCAGTCGGTAAAGAATTTGCCTCCAATTCTGGAGACCAGGGTTCAGTCCCTGAGTTGGGAAGATCCCCTGGAAAAGGAAATGACAACCCACTCCAGTATTCTTGCCTGGAGAATTCCATGAACAGAGGAGCTTGGCAGGCTACAGACCATGGGGTCACAGAGTCAGACAGGACTGAGTGACTAACACTTTCACTAACAAGGAAGTGGAGGCCAGGCTTAAAATCCCAAGGATTAGGTAAATAATTCTTTTCATTAAGGGAACATCCAGGGGAGGGAGGTTTGTGTTAGTATCATAATTGTTATTGTGGGAGAGGACTGACATGAGCTGAATATTGGAAGCTGAGTAGGTGTTCATCAGTTGAATGAGACACCTTGAGGGTCGGGGATGATTGGAGGGGTATTCAGGAAACAGAGTGGTGTGGGCAAAAGCAGACAGGCATGAAAGAGCATTAGGTTTGAAAAAGAGCAGTTTGAGTCCTTTCGTGATGCTTGAACATACAGTGTAAGAAAGAGATGGCAGAGAAAAAAAAAAGTCAGACAGGCAGGGAAGAATCAGATTCCTTGTGGTCTTGTAGACAATAGCAAGAAATCTGGGCTTTCCTTTGATAATTAATAAGGGATTATGGCTGAAGATGCAAGAGTGAGAGAGTAGAAGAGTATAGCAAGAAGCCAGATAAGGAATGATGGAAGGTAAAACTAAGAAGTATCAGTGGGGATTGTAAGGAAGATGAGGATACAAGAGAAGGTAAGAATCTATAACTTGAGGTAGTTACAACAAAAAAAGTAAAGTGCACATGATCTTCCAATTAAAGCTTTTATTTATGTTTTACAAAGTTATTTAAAATATGAAGTCATAGTTGGTTATACATTTAGCTATTTGTTTTTATTGATAATAACAAATGACATGAAATAAGGACTTTTCCAGAAAGTAGATCAAGAGTATTGTTGGATCTATATCCCTGAAATCTGGTGGAGACGCCAAGCTCCTGAAACTTTACTTCTATCTTAGGGGTCAGTACTGGTTTAGGAAGGTCCTAGATAACCTGGTAAAATATGGGTCTGGTGCAGAATGAAATCTCTAACTTCTAAAATTAGGATTCATGCTCTAAGTAAAGTAAATTCAGTCAGTTTCAGGTATTTCTCAAACTTAGGAGTTCTAATAGTGTTGAGAAATCTATGGACCAGTCACTGGTATAGCAGAGTTCCACAGAATCCTATAAATTCTGGAACAAACAGTATCCATAGGTATAATTTAAGTATACCCCATGGTCTATATTTTCTAAGCCATGTTGCATTGCCCTGACAGGTAGGTTTGTTGTGTGACACCAAACTTGTCATTTTCTGGATCTCTTTGTCTTCCTTGAGTATCAAAATTCCATTCTGAGATAACATTTTCCTATGCTAGTTAAGGGTTTATTACAAATTAAAGAGTTAAAGCAGCCACCCAAATATTTTAGCAAGCAACCCACAACCAAAGCATCAATAATAAAACTCAGGTCAACTTCCTATATATCAAAGCACCATATCCAAAATGTCAAGGATGTAAAAAATGACCTTTACATTTTATACACTAAATAGTTTTTAGTTATTGTTTTTTTAAAAATTATCAGAGGACATAGAAACCTTCAAACCATTAAAATTAATAGAAATTTTAAAAGTGTTTAATTCAGACTTTAGTGAACACTCAGATATTTGTTTATTGAAGATCTATGTTATTACACATTCCACTTTTTATAATTATAAATACAAGTTAAATGTAGGAGTACATGTGATCTATACTATATTCTTAGCCCTACTCAATATGTAGCTATATCTTAAATATAAATTTATGTTAAAGTGAAATATAAAAAGATTATTATTCATAATATAAAGTAGAAGTGCTCATTCCTTTTAGAATACTATCTTGTAAATAATGCAATGAATTAAAAGACTGGCCTTGGTTCAAGAGAAAAGCTTGATGAAAATAGATATAAAAATCAACAAAGACTCCAGAATTTCTCAAAGAGAAATCTGAAACTCCAAATCATCATTCACAATTTCTTATTAATTATAATTTGAGATAAATTCCCAGTTACTTCTAGATTATAGATACGTCTCCGCAGTGACATCTTGTACAGATAGACAAGGAAGGGGAGAAAAGGAGGCAGTTTTTGAAAGTCACTGGAGGATAAAACTTAAGAGTTACATTTGGTTTCCTGTTCTAGAAGTCTGAGAAAAGATTACATTAAGGGGAAAAACTTGTTATTTTACTAAAGCCATTAAAAGATAATTCAGGGAGATCTTTTAAGCCAAGTAGGCACATTGATAACATGTATTCCACTCTCACGTTTAAGACACAAAGGTCTCCATTTCTCTAAGGGAACTGCTTTTTCCACATGACCCATTCTCTCTCTTGCCTTGGAGCCAAGTAATTGGAACCCTAAACACACGGCGGAGCTTCTGTTGGAACCTGTTTCCAACAAAACAATACAGAAAGGGATTAATGCAGCTGTTGGTGAATCCCAGGAGAATGGCAAAAGGAAGTGCCAGGTCAATGACTGCTATAACTTCACAGCTATTAATGACACCCATCCAGGCTAGAGCATCCAGGAAGGTCAGAACATGGAAAGGAAGCCAACAAATGATGAACGCCAGAACAACAGCAGCTGCCATCTTCAGAACTTGGTCACGAGTTATTCTATTCTTCCCATAGCTATTGGTCTTCAGTAGATGTTTTCTGATTCCAAAATAGCATGTTGCTATGAATATTAAAGGGATAATAAAACCAAGGATATTTTTCATTAAGGCAATCCCAGCTGACCATTGGGCATACTTCTCAGGTGGGAAAGCCATTATGCAAGCATTCACCCCTAAATATTCAATGGTTCTGACATCCCGGAAATAAAACGTTGGCAATGAGGACAGACAAGCCATACACCAAACAAGGGGAACTATATAAGATGCTTGCCAGGGATTTCTTCTTTGAGACAGAAAGGGGTAGATGACAGATTGGTACCTATCAACACTCATGCAGGTGATAAAAAAAATGCTTGCAAACATGTTCAGGGTCAGGAAAGAACCAAAAACTTTGCACATCACAGGTCCAAAGAGCCAGTCATATCTATGAGAATAATAGGTTGCCCAGAGAGGAAGAGTAGCCAAAAGAAGTAAGTCAGCCACAGCTAGATTGAAGATGTAAATGCTGGAAACCTTCTTAGGACCCTTTTGACAACAAAACAGTGTAACCACAATAGTATTGACAAGAAATCCAACCGCAAAAATAATGTAATAAAGAACAGGAATTGCATCTAAATGCTTATCTGATGGCTTATGTGAGCAATTAAAGGTAGACTCATTGCTAGAAATGTTCACAAGTCCAACGGGAAGATTGCTGGTAATGTTTTTGCTGATGGTGGCAAGGGAGAAGTTGGCTTTCATGTTGATTGAAATGTCAGCAGCTTCTAATTTTTACACCTTCTGGGAAAAAAAAGAACTCATAAAACACACAGAATTTAGGATATTATCAAGTTATTAGCATTATAAAAGTTTGTTGAAAGCAAAAAATGTAGGTGATTATAGAAAATATTGGGAAACAGAAGCATGCCTTATGAAATAAGAATGGACTTTACTTCTTAAAGAAGAGAAGAGAATTCTCTCAATAATACCAAGAAATTAAGGCATTCTGACATCAAGACTGAAAATTCTAAGCAAAACTACTTTTTGCCCTTCTTTTCTATTATCAAAAAGTTTAAAGAAAATTAATATTTCAAAAGGTTAGTCAGAATAGGAAATATATGAAACAAATAAGAAGAAACTAAGAAATAAGAAAAGTTAGCATTTCAAAAACACATGAGCACATATCTCACTCTGTATACTTTCTAGAAACCACACCACTGCCTGCTATTGCATAGAGAAATGCCTTATTCAAGTAACTAATTATATACAAATCATTCCAGCTATGGAGAAATAAGTAAAATAAGCTATGGAAAAAATAAGTAAGTGTACAAAAGACTTAAAGAGAATATGCAAAAGGAACATTGAGATGGTGGGTTATGGCTGGTTTTTACTAATTAAAAATAATTCCTATAGTTCTACTTTTCCATTGTTTTCACAATAATAATATAATTAAGAGATAGTTATGGAATATGTGCATATTTTTAAAACCTCCATCACATTTTAATAGAAACTATTACTTTTACGTATGGCTATTTAAGTTTAATCCATATAAAAGAAAATCTACTTTCTTTTTTTAATTAGGAAAAGAAAACTAAAAAATAGCCAAATTGGATTCAGGGTCAAATACGAAAAATTGTGTTGTTCAATGAAATAAGAATTTGAACATCAAAGATTAATCATAATATAATTGTATCACTTTTTCCTTTGCTTTTTTTTTTTTTTAGTTTAACAGCTAAGTAGTTACAGTGCTACTTGGCTCTTGAATATTATAACCAATATTCAGATTTTTGTGATACTGTTATTTTTAATAGCAACATTATTTTAAAACAAAAGAAAATTAGCTGAAGATAAGCACAGTAAGGGAAAGACTCTTCCTTTGGAGGGTTTCAAAACACATATAAATAAACTACTCAGTGAAAATGTCATCAGCAAAGAATCTCTTAATAAACAACAAACTTATCACTTTTGTTTAGAGCTTTACTCTTTCATAATCTTGACTTAACAAATTAACATGAAATAATCTAAAATAAACTCACTTGAAGACTTACTGGTTGTTCGAGTTTAAAACTTAGTTATCATAAATCAGCTTGCCTCGTTCTTAAGTGCACCCCTGTAAGAGAAACAGTAGTTTTGACAATTTAGGAATTTTGCAAAATACAGTGTTAAAATACAGGAAAAAGGGAAAGTGCATCCATAAAAAATTTTTCATTTAATGTATGTTTTACTTCCCAAATAGAGTATGCATAAATTGTGCAGACCTACCTTAAAAATTCAGGCTGAAGAATGCTTTTAATTTTGTGCTTATTCGTTCCCTTAGAGTCGGGGACGTAATAGCACCAGATCTCTGGTTTCCTTCTTATATATTCTGTCTGTCCACTGGGAGCCTTCAACCTACATAATTCTAGGGCTGACTTATGAACACTTGCCAGCTTTCCAGTGGGTTTTTTTTTTCTGGCTGCAAAACATTAATCTGAAATTCTCACTGTCTCCAATCATAACAGCTCATTCAAATAAATCTCAAACAAAAATGAACTTTCCACAAATGTGTTACAGAATTTTAAGTCAGTGACTTACTTTAAAAGAAGAATATAATTATTTGCAGAATTTCCTTTCTTTTACCCTGATTTTGGCATTCTAAAATGAGTTAAGGAGTGGAGACTAGGGAATTTATTCTAGTAGTAGAGTTAAATTCCACCAGCATCTTTTACAACTTTCATTACTTTTTGAAAAATTTTACCCCTGTTTAATAAAAGAACAGCAGCAACTTTACTTGAAGTCTAACATTTCTAAAATTTCTCCCTTGTGTTAAACAAGTTTTGTTGGCTTTTTCTGGAGAGATATGACAGGAAGGATATAATTCTCATGTCTTCTAAAAGAAATATTAACAAGTAGTGTCTCCTTTCATGGGTCTTTATCATATTTGTGGTTTAAATACAAAGTATACAACATCAGAAGGATTAAGCAGCTATTGCAGCCCAGATTACTGTTGTTTTTCTTTTTGTGGGATTGAGGGTGGTTAGCCTTACACAATAAGTATAGTAGAAGCAAGAATGACAAAAGAAAATAAATACAGGTGATGGTAGTAATTATATCAGTTGACAATAAACGCCATTTGCCAAACACTGTGCTAAGTTCTTTATACTCAATACTTTAATAGACAGGCAATATAGCATACCAGTGTATGTACATGGCTTCTGGGTTCCAATTACCTGGTTCACAAGCTCAGCTATACCACTTAATAATTCCATGACTATGGCCAAGTTACTTTCCTTCTTCTTGTCTCAGTTTTCTCATCTGAGAAATGGGGATGATGTTAATTACCTACATCATGGAGTTATAAGAATTAAATGAGTTGTTATGTTTAGAGTGCCTAAAAATTGTGCCTAGTACATACTAGGTACAATTATAAGCTATTAATATTACCTCCATTAAAAAAAAAAACAGTACACTAGGGCTCACAGAGTTTAAATAACTTTTCTGAAATCACATAGGTATTAAATGGGGACATTTGAATTGAAACCAAGGCACTCTAATGTCAGCACCCACAGTCTTAACCTCCACAGTACAGGAGGCAGCATTAGCTGGTCCTTTAATCTCACCCTTTGTCCTGGCAAAAAGAAAACATGCAACATTTACAAAAAAAAAAAATCCTTGCTGGCCATTCATAAACTGTTACAAAAGCACTTGGGGGGAAGGGTTTGAAGGATTGTTGCATGGGAGAAAATATTTTTCATTTTCTTCCCAAAATGGAGGCCACAGGTAGGCAAAATATATGACTAGTTAACTGCAGTGAGTACAGAAAACCAGAGAACCCAGGACACTCACATGAGTATAAAGGATTCCAGTTATTTCTACTGATCGTATTTTTTTTTTTTTTCTGGAAGCAGTAAGAGTTCACCTAGCTAGGCTTCAGGCTGCAGGTGAAGTAAGAGGGCAGGCAGGCTCTGAGGAGGTTGCTGGGGACCTAAGTAAAGGTTCCACAGAAGTAACACAGCAAAGGGAGGGTGGGTTACAGAAGACAAAATTACAAATGACATGAAACAAAACAGATGGCTTTTGACATTTGTCTGTTTTTCCATTCATTTTGAAGTTGATCCTATAGTACACAGACAGATGGGATCAGCAAGAAGAGGTCACCATTGCCTGAAAAACATAGTACGATTCAAAAGTTTGCACAATACTCTTTCTTTCAGTAGATTGTTTGAACATGGAGCAAATGCTGCTGATATACAGACACAGCATTTTACAAAATCTCAAAATATTTTCTTCCTATGTTCTGGACAGATTCAGGTTGAGACTCTGTCCAAATGATGGAAAACTGATGTTTGGAAAACAAATGAGGGGGCACATATGGTTATCGGCAGGAGGGTTTAAATGGGAACTGGTTTCACTCTTTGTTTAAGCCTGGTTTCTCCCTCCATTTCAAATGTTTGTTTTTACCATGTACAGGGGAATTTTCCAGGCCAGGGCCTCCTGAGTGGTCACGATGGGTCAGATTCCCACCCTGCTCTATTTCTAGCCCCTTCTCATGCCCCTTTTGAAGAAATAACCAGGAGTGAGCTATAAACTTTTGAGAACAAACTGCAGACTCGCCTCCGGGAGACCTAGCCTTGAACACCCCCGAGGAGTAGGAGACCTTGTCTAGAGCTTTTGTCCTTCATTACAGTAAGTTCTGACATAAATAAAGTTTAAAAAGGCACACATTTCCCAGAAGATTTAAAGGACATTTACTCTGTTTCTTTATAATTTTAGTAGAAAAGTTTTCACAGGTCAAAGAAAAACTATGTAACTACAGAGAGATAAGGTAGAAAAAAAGAAAAAAGAAAAGAAAAAGCAAAGGAATAATAATATTGATACCACTTGAAGCGAAAAACACAGCATATTATTGATTCAGTGAAGAACTCCAAGTTAAGCCAACAGTGTAAATACACTTGAGAGTCAAATAAATGTCGGTCAGGAGGAACAGTACAACACAGAAGAATTCACACTCCTGGGGGCAGAGAGTAACTTTTTCTGCTGGAAGATTGACTTTAAAGCCCCAGGTCATTTGAATAAATTATGTAGCTCTTCAGGACAAGTGCAGCTTGGCTAGCAGAATTAAACAATGGTAAATCACATTGAATTAACTTTATTTTTAGTGAATACTTTTCATTTATTGTGAGATTACTTAACACTAAAATTTAATGGGCCAGGTTTAAAAAAAAAAAAAAAAGAAGGAAGTTCTCCAGAGGAATTTCTCCTCTGCTAAAAATCTCGGGAAAAAAATCTTGTCTGTCTCTCTTAACCTCACTCACACACACAGATGAAGTTTTGAAGGAGAAAAGAAACTATACAGTACAAAAGTCTGGATATACGTGCCCTAGTTACAAAGGTGAGGAATAGAGGTGCAGATCATAAAATGATTAAATATATACTGGCCTTCTTTTTTAGTTTTTCGGTTATTTTAATTTTCCTCCACCTCAGCTACCTTTCTGAGTCCCTATCCAGAACAGTAGTGTTAGGAGAAGCACACTGACTGAAACCGCCCACCCTGGCCAGGCACCATAGTAACCATTTGCATGAGTTACTTTATGACAGGAGGTCCTAGTAGGGAACATGGAACTAATAAGTCACCACTAATTGGAAGAATTCAGAAAAAGTTAAAGGAAGATACCACATGTCTGACCACCTCCCAGAATCCTTATCGCTGGCATCCATTTTGACTGAGCAATGAGTGCGCCACCAGAAAGGACTGTGAGTCAGAATGATTGGCCAAAGACAACCCAGAAACTAACCCCACCGTCATAAAACCCAAGACTGCAGGCCATGTGGCAGAGCAGTCCTCCTGGTTTCCCTACCCTACTGCTCTCTACCTGAGTGCCCTTTCCCAATAAAATCTCTTGCTTTGTCAGCACATGTGTCTCCTTGGACAATTCACTTTCGAGTGTTAGACAAGAGCCCACTCTCAGGCCTTGAAAGGGGTCCCCCTTCCTTCAACAGTAGCACTTCCACTTTTCCCAACTTCAACACAAACGCACACAAATACAAAGCACACCTCATTACCCATATATACACTTAACGCTATGGCAGAAAGTGAAGAGGAACTAAAAAGCCTCTTGATGAAAGTGAAAGAGGAGAGTGAAAAAGTTGGCTTAAAGCTCAACATTCAGAAAACTAAGATCATGGCATCTGGTCCCATCACCTCATGGGAAATAGATGGGGAGACAGTGGAAACAGTGTCAGACTTTATTTTTTTGGGCTCCAAAATCACTGCAGATGGTAACTGCAGCCATGAAATTAAAAGACGCTTACTCCTTGGAAGGAAAGTTATGACCAACCTAGATAGCATATTAAAAAGCAGAGACATTACTTTTCCAACAAAGGTCCATCTGGTCAAGGCTATGGTTTTTCCAGTGGTCATGTATGGGTGTGAGAGTTGGACTGTGAAGAAAGCTGAGCACTGAAAAATTGATGCTTTTGAACTGTGGTGTTGAAGAAGACTCTTGAGAGTCCCTTGAGCTGCAAGGAGATCCAACCAGTCCATCCTGAAGGAGATAAGTCCTGAGTGTTCATTGGAAGGACTGATGCTGCAGCTGAAGCTCCAATACTTTGGCTACATCATGCGAAGAGTTGACTCGTTGGAAAAGACCCTGATGCTGGGAGGGATTGGGGGCAAGAGGAGAAGGGGATGACAGAGGATGAGATGGATGGCATCACCGACTCCATGGACATGAGTTTGAGTAAACTCCAGGGGTTTGTGATGAACAGGGAGGCCTGGCGTGCTGTGATTCATGGGGTTGCAAAGAGTCGGACACGACTGAACGACTGAACTGAACTGAATCTTTTTTCAATTCAGTTATCACAGCGAAGCTTTACTTTAATTACCACTGGACTTTTCCAAACCTGAGGGTCCCTGAAAGGGGAGAATTAAGAAGATTGCCTTGTCGTTATGTCTTTGTAGATAATTTTTGTGCCTCTCTTTAGCTTTCAATATAATGAGAACAAGAATGTCAGGATGAAAGCAAGTGAGAAAAAACAATAAGGATCAGAAATAGCCATCATATTGACCATTTTGTATAAACTAGCCTAAAAAATTCAGTAAAATGGCCAATATGAGTGATTGTATCAAATTAACTGACTGCCTAGGCATCACAGAGAGTAAGAGGACTATTAAATCAATTAACAAGGTGGAATCCATGCAGTGAAATGAATAGATGTCTGACTCAGTACATTCCTGAGGCCAGTTGCTTCCAGTTGAACCTGATCACAAAAACATAAGGAGAAGGAAGAGTTCCAATTTCCCTTTGCCTCAAAGGCATCTGCAGGCCTGAGCATCATGTTCAGAGCAGGATCTCACAAGACACCCTAATTCTACCAAATAGCATCTCAATGTAT